AATTCTCAAGGGGGCCATTCCCTGGCGGTCAAAGCTCAGGGTATATCTGCAGAACCTGGGACACCCTGCAAGTGCCTCGAAAATGTGTGAATGCTCCTTGTGAGCGGCCCAGAGCACAGGATACAGGCTGCAGGCTCAACTGAAGCCAGGGCTCTCACCAGCATTCTGCTCCAGCCAACTCTCAGAGCACTTCCTTTCCTTGCTTTACTTTCAGCAAGAGATGCTGCGAGGTGGCATGGGCCATTTGGGACATGGAAGAAAACATCCCCACCTTGCTGTGTGGCCCTTGGTAGCTTTCCTTCTTTCCACGGGCCTTCGTCTGCTCCTCTATAAAGTGAGGGCAGTGGGGTGTCATATTAATAGTGTATGTAGCCAGCTGCCCACTTCTCTGTCCTGGGCAGACATCAATAATCAATCACACCGCTGATCAGAATCCTCACGCTCCTAACAGCCAGGAGTAATTGCTTGGACTGACCCACAAGACAAAATATACTTACCACCTTGAGATAAGATGAGTTCAATTCTACTCTGATTTTTTTAAATGCCTCTCTTTTCTGATGAGGGGGCCAAACCAGCCTCCTCTGAGCTTGACCCTAGAAACCACACCCTCAGGCAGGAGGGCCTGCCTTTCTGGATGTGAGATGAGCCACCATAACCAACAGGGAATGTTCTGGCCCTGCCTGGATATGGACTCCAAAATGGCAACTCCACTGCACTTGTCTTGGGGGCTTCTACATGCCCAGAGAAGGTTACTCAGAAGTTTCACAACATAGCCAAAGTCCTGGGTTACAGGGAGGCTGTATCAGGCTGGGCACTGGGACCAGACAGGTTTCCCGATCTAGTTCTCAGATGGCAAAACGGAAGCTCCATCGGAACCCATGTCCTCGACACCTTACCCAGTGCCAACTTTCTTCCCATCCCATTTTCCCTCTATAACACATCAGCTTGTCCCTTAGCGAGAACGTAAACATGCAGAAACTATTCCTTCCCCTTGAAGAGGTACTTCTACTATTAATCCTAGTACTATTGCTAATACCAGCTAATCATGTGTTTACTGAGCATGTGTCGGGCATACGTCATCATATTCCATCCCAGATAACCCCACGGAATAGCCACAGTGAGTACTGAGGCACAGAGAGGGCACGCCACTTGCCAAGGTCCATGCCTATGAAACCGTACAGCCTGATTCATGCCCATGCTGAGGATCTGAGTCCGCTCTCCTCATGACGCACTGTTCCCTTTTCCGCGGCTTTGGGGTCCCACACCTGTGAGGCCAGGATGGGGACCATGCTCCATCTGTCAGATGAGGGCACTGAGACATGGCGAGGCCAAGGACCCTGCTACGGAACAGGAAACCAGCATGGCGGCTGGTCTGAGGCCTGAGGGTCCTGGCAACTCACCGTGCAGGTAGCTGGCTAGGAGAGACGTCCCACATTTCCCTGACCTGGCTGCTCAGGTCTGTCCCCATCAAATCAGGGGGCTCCACCATGACTCAAGACTGAGCCACCCCTCATTGGGCATGCCCTGGTGACAGGCACAGCTACTGGGTCTAACAAGTTTGACACAGGTTCACCAAAGGGACGAGGGGCGTGTCCTCTCTTCCATTAGCCAGCAAATCCACTAGGGATTAGCACAGACCTCGAGGAGTGACTACTGATGGAGGAGGCCAGGCACCAGCCTCCGCAGACAACTTCTCCCATTCAGCACTGGGTATGTCACTCCTGCTGGTCACCAAACATTCTGGTTCACCCTCCTGTCACAGGGGAAGATGGTATTTCCTAGCCTGATTGAGTTTGGGTGGGGCTGTGTGCCTAGTTCTGGCCAGTGCTTCTGGCTGCAGTAGGGACTTGCCAGTGTGAGTCCCACTGGGGCTTGCTTTCTCACCACATGGCTGGGAGCAGCCTGTCTGCTGGCTTCTTTTAGCCTGGGTACAGAGCAGAGCAGGGCTGCCTGTGGACCCATGATGGACACGTAGTATAAGACATCAGCCTTTGTGGTTCGGAGCTACAAGGCCTCTGGTTACTCGGAGGATCTTTGTTACTGGAGCATATCCTAGCCTTGTCCTGCCAGCTACAACACCAAGGTCAGCATCACTTCCCAGAAGCCACTACGTACCTGGCTGGGTACTGTGGCATGGAAGTAGGGAGTTTGGAGCCAGAAATCAGGCAGGTCCTAGAGCTCCAATCTCTAGGGGCTCCTAGTCGTGTGACAGACAGAGACAGGCAAAGACAGGGCCCCTTTAATCTAAAGAGACCACGAAAAGTGGCCCAATTGAGGACCAAGGCAGACACAGATCTCTCTGAACAGAAGTGATCAAGGCAGACTTCTGAGAGGAGTTGGCCTTGAAGGATGGACTGGATTTGGGCCTGCGGGAATGGGCAAAGGCATTACCTTAGAGAGGGAACAGCATGAGTGAAGTATAGGAAGAGCAGACTGCCCTGGAATGAAATGTCTGGGGAGATCAGAAGCAAGAAAAGGGCCTGGAAGCTCAGACCATGGAGAAGCCCAGTGCCAAACCCTGATCCCAGAGCCAGCAGGGTGCCCCATGTCTTGTCACAGGGCAACAACATGGCCACTCCTGTTTGCTCCAAGGCCTCCTGGCAGCTGGAGAGAAGGGCAGGCAGTATGGGACAGGGAGGCACAAAAGCATCGCTGCGACTGAGATGCAATGACCAGACAGAGCTCGGGATGCTGCGAGCAGCAGAGGACCAGCTGGAAAAGGGTAGGAGCCAATTCCCAGCAGCTGGAAGAAAAGGCAGCAGGACTTGGGTCCAAACATGATGAAATAGCCCCCAGGAACCTGCTCACGAGGCCCTGAATGCCACGCACAGAACAGCACCCAGGGAGTCCGAGACACTCCTAAGAAGACATGGAATGCTGGTTAGTGGAAACAAAATCACAGCTAGCTAAGAGAAGCAATGTCTAATGTTAGAAAATAGAGCTGAAGGGACCAGCAGTTAGCGTAATGGCTATGTTGCTGGACTCCCATGTAGTCGACCACCGTTCAAGTGCCAGACCCAGCGGCTTAAACTCACGCTGGGAGTGTGTGCGTGCATGCCCAAGATCCCGAGAGGAGAATGATGGAGGAGAAGGGATTGTGGCATGGCCATCCCCCCCAGGGGGTGATTTCTTGCTTTCTGTCTCTCTCTCTCTCTCTCTGGCTTTCTGGCAAGTGCATGCGCCCTATAGCAAAAACCTCTCCAAAAAAAGAAAAAAAAAAAAAAAACAAAAAAAAAAAAGAAGAAGAAAAGAAAATAGAGCTGAATACAGTTGACGACTTGCTGTGTATCTCAGCGACTGAAAATGAGAACTTGGAATGTTTCCCATGCACAATAATGACACATGGTGGGGATGACGAAGACACTAATTACTCCGCACTTTATTCTTGCACTGAAAGATCACACTGTATCCCACCAATATGTACAATTATTATATAGCAATTAAACACACACACATACACACACGGGGCACATGGAGGAAGGTATGTTTGAGGATGGAAGTCCAAAGCTAGCCTAGGCAAGATCTATGTTGGGCTGTGGAACGTGGACCTGATTTCATAAACCAGGGGTTGCAAATGGTAGCCCCTAAAATGGCTCTGACCCACAGATAAGTTTTGTTTGGCAGAGTTCAAACACCGAATCAGTTACCAACATCTAAAGCTAAAATATGTCACATTGGAATGCTCATTTCAGGTATTCTATCTCTAGATATCTGGCGACACAGAGCCCATCTCCCTACCTGGCAACCACTGGAGTGGCACCGAGGAGCCACCACACTCTGCACATACAATGTGAGTTCTCCACTGCACACCATCTCCACCACCTGTCCTCTGGTCCCTTTCTACACACTAAGTAAACATGCCTGTTGGTTATTCAAGACAACCCAAATGTCCACAAACAGATGAGTGGATTGAAAAAGTGTGGCACATATAATATACTCCATGGAATACTATTTAGCCATAAAAAAACAAGAAGACCCTAGCACTTGATAGAATGTGGACAAATATGGAAGATTTATTGCTGAGTGAAGCAAGCCAGGCTATGAAAGAGAGACACGGTATGTCTCCATCTAATATATACCAACTGCCTGCATTCTATGGTAGAGACTGAAAGACTGGAGGACATAAAAGAACTGAAATGAGTTATGGACACTGGAGACAGTGTGGAAGGAGGGTAGGAGAGGAGAAGAGTGTAGGAAAGAAAATAGGGAAGAAAAGTAGAGAAGTAAGACATCTGTGAGATACAGAAATGGTTTATTACCTGTTGATAATGTGTATAGTATTCTCAAGTGGACTGGTCTGAGGTGTATTTCATATCGGGTAAATTCTCTCTACAAGCTTAAGAATATAGCGAATGAATGTATAAATACTACTACTACTAATAATAAAATGTCTGTTGGGCCTCGTAGATCTCTGAGGCTGTGAACCTGGCCCTAATGCAGGAGTCCTGACTTGTGCTCAGGTGGTGAGGGACAGAAATCATCGCTAAGAAGCTAGTTTCCACAGAACTCCTCTGAGCCTGGCGCAGGACAGAAGAGGCTAGAAAAGGTCTGGTCCATTGCTGATCTGATCCTGATGGGCAGGACCTGCACTGGGAGCTGCCCCCAGGGGTCCCTAGTCAAGCCAAGGTCAGAGAAAGGCAAATAGGCGTTCAAGATCCTGAGCCTTAGATAGGGGCTGTGTTAGACCCAGCAGGGGTGTGGGAGCCCCAAGGCATGAGGGATCCACTGGGCCCACAGAAGGTTGCAGGCATTTGACTTAAATAAGGTCTTGATGGATGGATAGGGTTTTGCTGCAGCAGACAGCAAGAGAAGAAATCTCCAGACTAAATTTGTACAAAGGCAAGTCTAAGGAGCTTAGATCTTTCCCTGAGGGCAGAGGGGAGCCATCGAAGGTTCTCTCGGCCAGGGAGGAGCAGACACTCAAGGTCCCTTCTCCCCAGGACACTGGCCCCACATTCCCACCCTGGTCCCTGCCCCAACCATTGTGGATGGGCGCTCACCAAGCGTCTGCTGGTTGCGGACACCGCCGATCACCACACAGATCTCGGCGGGCACGTCGCCAGTGCCATCCTTGCCGACCGCCGCCTTCTCCTCCTTGGCCTCGCCCTGCCAGATCACCTCCTGGATGTAGTCATCGGGCAGCTCAGTCTTCACCTTCACCTCCGTCATCGTTCCCTGCTCGGCACTCAGCGAGGCCTCGGCCGGCACAGGCTCTGGGCCCTCCACCTTGGTGCTCTTCTGGCTGCGCTTCAAGCGCTCCCTGGAAAAGAAGAGTCTGCTCAGGTGGACCCCATAGCTGCCCTGCAAACCACACGGGAGCCCACTAGCCCACATGCACGTCTTCCAACAGAGGACGGCAGGGCCCCCGAGGACGTCCCTGAGGCTCCTCCACTTCCAAGGAGCAGTTCAAAAGCCACTGGCAAGGAGAGCTCCAGCGCCACCCATTGTATAGGTGGGAAAGCAAAGGCCTGAAGAGGCCCAGGTGTGCTCAGTCACTTCATTGCCACGTATGTATCTGTACTTATCACACCCGAGCTACGAGAGCCCTAGGAGGGCATCCTGGCTGGTTGAAAGTTTTTCTCAAACGTCCACGCAAGCACAAAATGCGGGGGCTCTTCATCAAATGCAGGCTCTGGTTCAGCGACTCTGGGGAGGGGCCCAAGGGTCTGCATTTCCAACAAGCTCCAAGTCAGGCTGCTAATCCCCAAAGCCCACTAGGAGCAGCAAGGGTTTAAGCGATTCTACGTACACGAAGCATCTTGTGCTGTTCCCTTTGCTCGTTGGCAGAAGGGTTTGTGAGCTCATCCAAGCCTGTCCCTGCTCCTGTTCTACAGTGAGGGAAATGACACTCCTAAAGGGCATGTGCAATTTAGATGTCCTGGAGCCGACACACGGGCAGGCAGGTGGCTTTTCCAACATCTGAAAGCATCCTCAAGGTACTGAGGTCGAACCTGAGGCGGGCAGGCACGTGTGAGTCCCGGAGGCCTGTGACCGAGTTGTGACTTACCCAGGCCAAAATTTTGCACAAAATTGAGGGCAGGCCAAGGCAGGAAGCCAGATCGCTGGCAGTCACTCCTGAATCACCTCCTGTCAGCATGACTCTCTGGGTTATCCTCAAGGCCCCCTCATACTTCCTGCCACCACAACTTCTGTTTCCAAGGTGGGGCAGCCGAACGTGCACACACAGGGAAATCCGAGTCATGTTCTGGGCCCTGTCTGGGGATGCTGCCTCAGCCATGTCCAGCCCCCTTCCACGGCTCTGGAGAAGCACCTGGACTGAACTGCAAGGCCCAGACCCGCAGTCAGGCAGGGCCCACTGGCATGCCAACTGGAGCACAGCAGAAGTGCCTACGCTGGGAGGCAGGGATGCAGGCCCCGATCGAGGACATGCAGTGGCCTTGCTGTGGGGCCTTGGGCAAGACCCTTCTTTCTCCTCTCTGGGCTTCAGCAGCTCCATACATCACGGGAGTACAGGTTTCACCAGATCTGCTCTCCTTCCCAGTTGTGGCTTTCTCCCAGGGTGGAGAAAGGCTGGGAAACCTAATGGAGAGAGGGGAAGGGTCCCAGCTAAAGAGGAGGGACCCGAGAAAGGTCAATGGGGAGGTGCTATAGGCCAAACTATGTCCCCTAAAAATTCATGTTGAGGACTTATCTCCTAATGTGACTGTTTCTGAAAGTGACTGAGGTTAACTGAGGCCATATGGGTGGGGGCCCTCATGATGGGCTTAGTGGCCTCATAAGAAGAGAGGGGGCCAGGGGGCTGGCAGGTGGCGTGGTGGTTAAGGCCACTGGACTCCCATATGGCTGACCACAGTTCAAGTCCTGGACCTGGTGCCTTATTTTTCTCTCTCTCTCTCTTCCTCTCTCTCTCTCTCTCTCTCATTTGCTCATTCTGTCCCGCTCTGGTCAAAAAATTAAAATAAATAAATACACAAACTTAAAAAAAAAAAAAAAAAGAAGAGAGGGGGCCAAACAGTAGTGTGGTGGTTAAGGTGCTGGATTTCACTTGACCAACTGTGTGGTTTGAGTCCTGAACACTGCAGCTTGTAAAACACACCGGGCATGCCCAAAATTCCAAAAGGAGAGAGAAATGGAGAAGGAATTGCAATGTGACCAGGACCCATGAGGGGTACTTTTACACTTTCTCTCCTGAAAACACATGCTCTTTCGAGCAAATTAGGAGAGAGAGAACCCTTCTCTCCTCTGTGTGAGGTCACAGTGAATAGGCAGACATCTGTAAGACAGGAAGGCCCTCACCAGAACTCAACCATGCTGGCCCTGTGATCTCAGACCTCCAGCCTCCAGAGCTGTGAAGAAGAAATTTCTGTCATTTAATTAAGCACCCAGTCTAGGGTGTTCTGTTACAGCAGCATAAGCAACTAACATAGGAGGCCAGGACTCAGATGATGGAAGAGGAGTGAAATGGCAAGCTGGGGGAAGCCAGCGAGAGTCAAGAGCTGTCCCATCAGCTACTTCCTTACTGTGTCACTTAGGCCAGCCACTTAGCCTCAGAGGCTCAGTTTTTCCATCTGCAAAATAGGGCCGACAGGGTTGTTATTCAGACCACATTCAACTAACAGGAAGTACTTGGTACAGTGGCTGTGCTGTAACCACTCCCAAGCCATGGTCACCACCACTGCTCTTCATAAGGACGCACTCGATGAGCATCTTCGGCACCCAGTAGGCCCACAGATGGCTCCTCGCACTGTGTCTGTCACGTCGGGGCCGCCAGACACTGTCTGGGCTTCTGCCCTTCTCCGAAGCAGGAACATAAAACTGGATGACGCAATTGCCTCAGAATTCATTTCCTTTATTTATTTAGGAAGCACTTAAATAGAGCTTCCTATGTACCCGAAGCTTTCTAACATACTAACTCCTTTCATCTTCAGCCACGACCCTGGTAGGGGAGTCCTGGTTTTATCTCCATTTTTCAGTCCAGGAAACTGAGGCCCTGAGAGGTGAAATGCCATGTTTGAAGTCACACGGTGGTAAAAGGTGGGACCAGGGCTTGCCGCAGGCGCTCTGGCTCTCCACTGGGAGACCCCTGGACTGGGAAAGGAACTTGCAGGGGAAGCCCTCCCCCTATCATCCACTCTTGACTTTCTGCATCCAGAACAGAGTCCACACTAAGGTGCTCGTGGGTGAGCAGGAAGGTGGGAGGGCATCCTGGCTTCGCTGGGTGCTGCCGCCTCCACAGGGATGATGTGTCTTGAGCTGGAGCCCTCCCCACTCTAAACATGCTCACAAGGAGGGGAGAGTGGGCCCCGGGGCTGCTGGGCTGTCACAGGGCAGAGTTCTATGAGACTCTAAGAGATAGCCATGGTGGCAGGTCAGCAGTCCCAAGGGGGCAACTACAGCTTTCGAGAAGGAACAAACTCCTGCCAGCCAGCCCGCAACAGAAGAGGATGGCCTAGGAGCAGAAGGCAGAGGCTGGCTGCCCTCTGGGGAGAATGAGATGTCATGAGGTGAAATGGAAGCTGGGTCATCCCAGAGTGAAATCTGGACCTGCCACTTGCAATCTGTGGGATCCTACATAAGCGACTTCCCCCATGTCAGCCTTAGCCTTCACATTTGTATGAGGGGGATCAGCACAGTACCTCCGCCATGGCACTGTGATGGGAGGGACCACAAGGTCATGGCCTAGAACAGTGGCTACCCAAGATGTTCTACTGGTAACTGCCATAGATTTTTTTAGACTAGGACTTGCTATATCACAATCCTCCTGCCTCAGCCTCCCAAGTGGTTGGGAGTAAAGGTGTGCGCTACCATGCCTTGCTTTTAGGGTGGGCTAGGAAACAAGCCTCCCACATGGCCTCACTCTGCCGAGCAGCCACCTCAACCAGCACCTGCCACTGCAGCTGGGCCTCTACTATCCTACCTATGTGGACGAAAGGAAAGGGTCTTATGTGCTCGGTATGGTTTGATATGTCCCTCCCAAATACATGTGCCAAAATTTGGTTGCGATGGTATTAAGAGGGTGGAAATATAATCCAACTATAGGATTAGAAATAATGCCTTTGGAAGGTGAATGGCTCCAAAATCATCAAAGTGGGGGCCCCCGTAATGGAATACTGGTGAATTTATAAGGAGGGCAAAAGATCAGCACACACACACATTTGCTCTGTCTTGCCATGTGATGCTCTATGCTACCTTGGGACCCTGTAGAGAGACTCCATCAACCAGCAGATCCTCATCCTCATCAGATGTAGACTCTTGACACTGGAGCTCTAAAACCATGAGCTAAGTTGGCCTTCTAATCTTATAAATTACCCAGTTTGTGGTATTGTTATTAGTGACCCGCCCTCCCCCCACAAGGAAAAAAAAGAAAAGAGGAGACTAAAACACATGGCCCAGACTTAGGTGCATGGCCTGTGGAATTATACCAATGGAGGTTCAAACCCTCGCTTCATCACTGTTTGGTAATAGGATCCAGGACTATGTGGGAGTGAGGACTTTGGAGCTACTCATAGCTCAGAGACTACTGTGCCACTGGAAACCAGTAATAAACCATGGTGGCCATCATTCCATTTGGTGGAGCAAGAAGGTGCTCAAGTTCCTATTCCTGGCCAAGAATGAACAGCCAGTCCTGCCCACCTTGAGGTTCGCTGGGTGCAGACAGGAGGAGAGGAGATACAATGCCCTCCGCCTACGATCTCCCCATCCCAGCCTGATACCTTAAGAGCACTTGACCGCCCTGTCTGAACAAACTGAGGCCCCGCTGGCTCTCCAGGTCCTCACTAGCACAAGACATCCCAGTGGCAGGGGAGAGGGTCTATTGGAAGAGACAGATTGGGTATGGCTCTCACCTGCACACCTTTATATCCTATGAACATGGGCAAGACTCCCCTCTCTGAGCCTCCATTGGTTTGTCAGGTAAAGGATGACCACGACCTTTGCCAGCTGGAGGGGTAGGAGGCAATGCCTGTAAGGCAACCAATCAGGGAGCTGGCAAGGAGAGGATCTCCATAGATGGCCTCTGCCATCCTGATGACATGGGTTTACGAGGACAGCCTCACCTCTGGGAAGCCTTCTCAGCTGGTTGGAGTCAGAGTTAGACCCCTCACGAATGCCAGCTTTCTTGGCATGGTTCTCTTAGAGCCATCCTTCCAGCGTGTCCTAACTAATCCATCTCTACTCACTTGTCACCTTTCGGACCTCCCAGTCTCACTTCTAACTCCTTGCCTTCCTTTGAAGTCCTGGCTGCTCTCTGAAAATACCTTGGCTGTTTACTGACCCCCTGAACTGCACACACCCTGAGAC